CACCCCCCTTCCTGGTATTTTTCTTTTTTTTTTTTTTTTGCTAGACATAAACTTTCCACAGAGCAGTCTTTGTGAAAAGGTGGAATGCAGAAGGCCTTCACAGAGTATGTGAAATAGAAATTGAGAAGTTGAAGGATCTTACAGGATGGAATCTTTTTGGAATAGTTTCCTGCCTCATTTGTATGAGAATTTAGGGATTAATGTTGTTTATGGTTGGACCAGATTGTCTTCATGGTAGTAAAAACTTAAGTGGGACCTAGCTACAAACAGGTACCTGCTTAAAACAAAATAAAGGTTGAAGAGCATGAGGACTATGGTTGAGCTAGTTTGTAGTCTGTCTTAGTTCCTTCCTTCTATCTCTATACATTGACTATCTTATCTCTAGTTTCTACCTCCTACCGCTCCCCACTCTTTTCGCATACAAGTTATTTTCTATATATTTTCTTTACTCCTGTTTGGTCCTGACTGCTGTTCCTGGGCTGCATTATTCCTATTGCCAGAATGTATGAAGTCTGGCTGTTTTCCCATAATGTGCACGAGGTGGGGTTTAATTTCAGTCAGAATTGGCTAAATTACTAATCATAGGCAAGAGATATTAGGTTCATTTTATAAATATGGAAATAGAAGTACAATTATTGTTAGGAATTTTTTAAATGTCATTTGAAATGCAAAGATTAAGAACTGATTTGGAGTTTTTTGTATTAGGTTTGGCCGTATTAAAATTATTTTTTGAGGCCAGGAGCCCTGAATTATCCTCTTCTAGTTATGGTGGAGACTGGTGCCCTTGTCAGCTGTCTGCTCAGTCAGCTCAAAATGGGGATTGTTGGGGAGACAGGATCTTTGTATTTTTCTAGCAGAATATATGAGACAGTGTTCTGAAGAGACCTCTTATAGAAACAGCATCAGTCACTTTTTGCTTGTGTGCTCTGGTGTATTTGGTCAGTTTTAAAGCATTGGTTTCATAGTTTCATGGCTTACCTAGTAAAAGCATTGGCTCAAGAGAGATGTAGATAAATATGTTCGATTAGTAAAGCTAAAAAGTTTTGTTTCTCTAGGTTGGCTTTTCTTTGATAGCAAGTAAATCTGCACAAGAACCTAATTTATATTTTTTTCTGTTGATTTTTATTTTGGCAGGAACTTGATCTCAAAATAGCAATTAAGTCTTGTCGCCTAGAGCTAAGTACCAAAAATAGAGAACGATGGTGCCATGAAATCCAGATCATGAAAAAGTAAGTGAACTTGGCTTATATTTCCTGAGTTCTGCAGCCCAGCTAGATGTCTTCATAGAGAAGGAGGCCAGGAATCTATTCTTCTTAGGATCTTTTTGGGAATATATTTTTCTCTTTTTCATTAATTAGATGTGTTCTATTTCAAATAATAATATCATATTATGATTAAGTAGGTTTACTTTAAAAAGTCAGCTTTTTAAACTAAAATCTAATAATACAGTAGGTATCTAATAATACAGTAGGCACGCGCGCGTGTGCCCCTGTGAGGGCAGAATCTGTTTCTTCTGGATCTTGGTCAGTGCTCATCTCTTATTCTTTCTGGTTAAATAATAATCATTACTCTCATTTCTTTACTCTAACTTCTTTACTTTAAAATAGTGTATCTATTGCTTTGTAAAAAACTTAGCCCAAAACTTAGTGGCTTAAAATAACAAGCATTTAGTATCTCACAGTTTCCATGGTTTAGGAATTTGGAAATGACTTAGCTGGGTGGTTCTAACTCAGAAGATCCCTCCTGAAACATCCCAGAATGTTGACTGGAGCTGCAGTCATCCAGAGGCTTGAGTGGGGCTGGAGTATTCACTTCCACGCTCATTTATATGCCTATTGGCTAAAGGCATCAATTTCTCATATCTGGGCCTCTCCATAGGAAAGCTTGATTGTCTTCATGACATGGCAGCTAGCTTTCCCCAAAGCGAGTGATCTGAGAAAGAGATGAAAGCCGACATATCTTTTATGATCTTTCCTTGGAAATTGTACTCCATCCTCTCCACCATATTGTTTGTTAGTTAGAAATGAGTCACTAAGTACAGCCTACATACAAATAAGAGGAGGAGAATTAAACTCTTGAAGGGAGAAGTGGATATATTTTAAAATTTCCACAGGTAGTGTGCTAAGTTCTTTACAAATAATTCTTTTAGTTGTCACAGCAACCCTGTATTTAGGTATTATTCCTGTTTTATAGATGAGGAAGTTGAAGCTCATAGAGTCATAAAGCTGGTAGGTAAGAGAGTCTGGATTTGAAATAAGGACTTTTTGACTCTTTATCTGTTCTCAGTTCACTTTAATGCTTCTCAAACTTGGCTATATGGCAGAATCACCAGGAAAAATATGAAATAAAATTCTTGTTAAAAATATAAATTCTCATGTCCTAGACGTAGAGATTCTCTTTCCTTAGGTTCTTAAGACCTGGGGATCTATTTTAGTTTTGAGATTCACTGCATCATGATGATGATAATGATGAAGAGGAGGAGGAGGATGAGGGGGTGGCGGAGGAGGAAGGCTGGGATGATATATTGTTAACTTAAAAAAAGATGTTAGAAAACAATGTATAGCATGATTCAGTATGGATTGAAAATATATTCGTGCACAGATAAAAAACTGGAAGGTAATATGCCAAATTTTAATTTTTTTCATTTTTATTTTTTATTGTCTTATATTACTTGTTTATTATCATTTATACAAAATTTTAAATGTGTTCATTTCACCTCTGGATGACATTGTAAGTGATTATGGGAGAGGCAGAATGATAAAGGCTTTGGAGCCAGACTGCCAGATTTGAATCTCACTTGACCACCTACTTGCTTTGTGATCTTATATTGCTTAACCAATTTGTGCTTCAGTTTTCTCCTATGTGATGAGACTATTAATAAATCTACCTATAGTAAGATTCTTGTGACAAGTGAGTTAACATATGTAAAGTGCTTACTTCTTGGCATGGAGAAATATAATTGTAACAATGATAGTATTTTTATCTATATTTTTTAAATTATTAAAATGAGAAATTAGAATATTATAAATAATGCCAGCCTTTTTTTCCCTCACTGCCCCTCAACTTCCATTTCAAAGCCAGTCCCTTTTCATTGGAAAAAAATTTTTGACTAGGTTTTCCTCTTCTTGTTAGGTTGAACCACTCCAATGTTGTAAAGGCCTGTGATGTTCCTGAGGAATTGAATTTTTTGATTAATGATGTACCTCTTCTAGCAATGGAATATTGTTCTGGAGGAGATCTTCGGAAGGTAGTATGGATGTTTTGAGATAGTAAGGTAGTAAATGATAAGATAGTAAATCACAAACTTCAGCAGTGTTTAAATCACATTCAATATGATAATCTAGAATAAGGGTCGGCAAACAATGGCCTGTTACTTCTTTTTATGACTGCTTTTTTACTACAGCAACAGCATTGAGTAGTTGTGACAGAGACCATATGGCCTACAAAGCCTAAAGTATTTACTGTTTGGCCTTTACAGGGAATATTAGCTGACGCCTGATTTTTAAACATGTACTTTTTTGTTGGAGGTGATGTGTGCAGGATGAGACTGTATTGGTGATCTTAGATCAAAAATATCAATGTTTAAGGTGTTTATAAAAAAGTTTTTTCTCTACTGCAAATCTTTCCCATCTTATTTTAAATTTGCCATGTGGATACTTTTTAACATATGTGAGATTTTTCAACCTTTTTCAATTTCACATTTCCCCCTTTATCTTTACTCTTATAAGCCTTGTCATGAAATTTACATGTTCTCCGTATGAATTCGGTAATTTTCCCCATCTGATATTAATCATGACTTATTTTAATATTCTCTTAGAGTATAGTAATTAATGTGTCACTATTACTGTCCAGTAATATTGGCAGTATACATTTTTAGACTTCTTTTTTTTTTTCATTAGCTACTCAATAAACCAGAAAATTGCTGTGGACTTAAAGAAAGCCAGATACTTTCTTTACTGAACGATATAGGTATGTAATCAATATGAAAATACTATCATAATGTAATGCCCCTTTGGTCCATAAAAGAGATTCTATATGCTACCACAAAGCATATATTTTTAATAATATAAGAAATTGTCAGAAAAATTTAACTATTACTGTTGATGCTAAATTAAAACTAGGATATTTTGTTATTTTTTTGTTTTGTTTTTGACTAGGAGTCCATTTTTGACACATAGATGTCCAACTACTACTGATCAAAAAAAAAAAAATGATGTGAAATGGCCTTATTCAGTTTTGTGCTCCCTTCCTCCCTGATTAACATAGTAATTTTATTTACCGGTGGCATTGCATCTCATGGGAATAGGTTCTCAAGTCAACTCTTAGGGTGAAATTTCTTGTTAATCATATTTAATCCTGAAAAATCCCTAAAACCCTTGGAGCAAGCTCAAAAGCCAGGAATATGTTTATATACTTTGATTTTACTTCTTTTCCTAGATCATGGAGGCTAAAGTCTAGTTGAAGAGAGTGATTTAGGTGGGAGAGAAAAGCTACAAGGATAAATTTAGGAATTTTCTCAATTGCTTGTTCCATTTCTTTTTAATGTTAATTCTCATTAGTTAAATGAGCATATATTATAATTTTCTGCCATATTTGTAAATGTTACTGGATTTTCTGTGGTGAAAATCTGAACTGCTGTAATATCATTAATCATGTAGTTATGATGGTCCATATAAATTTGAGCATCAGAAATACAAAACATGAGATGAATTTTTTTTAATTCAGTGCTTTCTCTGACCTCAAATAAACTTTAAACATTTTTTAGGGTCTGGGATCCGATATTTGCATGAAAACAAAATAATACATCGTGATCTAAAACCTGAAAACATAGTTCTTCAGGATGTCGGTGGAAAGGTAGGTGAAAACTGAAGAAATGTTTCGTACCAATTGAATACAGTCTTCCTGATATGGTTAGTCTTCGAGGTTTGATGCCCTTCCATAGTACTCTGTAGTTTTTCTACCCAGCCCTCACTACACTGTGGTTTTGTGTTTAGTTGTTTGTCTCCTCTGCTAATACAGCTCCATTAGAGAAGGAACTGCACCTGTCTTGTTCACTTCTGTTTTTCGAGCGTGGTGTCTAGCAGAGATAGTAAGCAGTGAGTATATAATTTATTAATCCTTACGAAACACATCCAGAAAAGACACACATCCTGAGTCTGCTTTTCTTTAAAAGTACATTTACATAAGTATATTTTTTGATTTTAAAAAAACTTTCATTTGACCTAAAAGTCCTAAGTTCTATATTTAATTAAAATTCAAAACCTTGATTTCTCAGATTCTTAAATGTGTCATCTTGAGAACCAAAAATTGTGAATTGATTACTGAAATATTTGTTTTTGTCAGAATAATTTGAGCAGTTTTCTTGCTGTTAGCACCCAAGTTTCATCCTAATAAAGACATAAAGCCAAGAGTCTGAACTTTGAATTCAATTGTGTGGTCTTTTAGTTAGTGAAGATGGTGATGGGTTGGAGGTGATGAAACCTGTGCTTGTTTGGCACCAACTGTCTCTGCCTTTTTTTTTTGTATCCAAAGACTAGGATATTCTTGAAGTTAGGTGGATATTTACATTTACTCACATTGATCTACTATAAGATGGCATGATCTTCAAGTTTGGAAGTCACCCTTACCTTTGCCTTTCAGTTTAATGGATCAAGCTTATTCTGAGTATATTAAATAAAAATTAATAGCCAATCTGTATTTGTTTTTACCATGTACAAGGCACTGTGTTGAATTCTTTTCTTTCACTATTTCATTGAATCATAATAACAATTCTGTGACGGAGGGATTGTTAGTAATACCATCATATAGAAAATTAAGAGAAATTAAGTAACTCGATCAAGAGCATGTAGCTAGTTAAGTGGTAGAGCTCAGGCTTGAAAGACATTTGTTATCCTAGAGCCCAAGCTCTTCACCACCATCCCCTCCAGACCCTTGTAAGACATTGTTGCCTTTCCTTTTCAAATTTCTCAACCATTTAATACTTATTGATTTGCAGATTATACATAAAATAATTGATCTGGGATATGCCAAGGACGTCGATCAAGGAAGTCTGTGTACGTCTTTTGTGGGAACATTGCAATATCTGGTAAGACGTGTTGTTTCTTTGAATATAAGTTTACAAGATTCTCTTTATTTCTGAAGGTCATTAATATAGTGGTTCAAAAATAAAGTAGATTTTATCTTATAGTGTGATGTTTAAAGCATTTTTTCTTTTTAAGGCCCCAGAGCTCTTTGAAAATAAGCCTTACACAGCCACTGTTGATTATTGGAGCTTTGGGACCATGGTGTTTGAATGTATTGCTGGCTATAGGCCTTTTTTGCATCATATGCAGCCATTTACCTGGTAAGAAATGGATGAGAACTTTGCTGTACTTAATGGGAATGGAACTTTTTAGTTGCCTGCTTTTTCCTGCTCTCTTTATGTGGTATAGTTGCCTTTTAAACACATAGTTGAATAAAATTAAATGGCAGAAATCTTAGGGTATTTGTGAGAATCAGGTTGTCAACTGAGGTGACTTTTTTATAGGCATGAGAAGATTAAGAAGAAGGATCCAAAGTGTATATTTGCATGTGAAGAGATGACAGGAGAAGTTCGGTTTAGTAGTCATTTACCTCAACCAAATAGCCTGTGTAGGTAAGTATGTTTCAGTGAGGAAGTTCACCTCAGTTTCTTCATCATTGTAAAAGAAAAATAGAGTTGTCTGTTCCAAGTAGTATTATCCAGTAGAACTTTCTGTGATGATGGAAATATTTTATAGCTGTGCTGGCCACATGAAGCCATTGAGCCCTTGAAAGGTGAACAGTGTGACTGAACTGAATATTAAATTTTATTTAATTTTAATTAACAAGTGTAAATGCAAATAGCCACTTGTGACTAGTGGCTACCATATTGGACAACGCAAATCTAGTGAGAACAAGAACTGCTGCCATTTAACTGATTGGTTTAGGTGCTAGGAAGATTCCTGGGATACTGAATTAAACGGGTTCCTTGGAGAATGGAACTCGACTTGCCTGTTGGAGTTGCCAGTAACTATCTTACCTATGTGAGTTTTGAGTTATTTTTTGTGGAAAAAGTTTCTTCCCTGTCATTTCATGAATTAATTGAAAGTAAGATACAAAATAATATAGACAAGTAATGAGAAAGGAAATGGACAACCTATAAAATTACCTTTTTCACAGTACTAAAGGAAAATTGGAACATAATGATTTTCACCCTATTTTTGTACATTTTCTAGTTTAATAGTAGAACCCATGGAAAACTGGCTACAGTTGATGCTGAATTGGGATCCTCAGCAGAGAGGAGGACCTGTTGATCTTACTTCAAAGCAGCCAAGATGTTTTGTATTAATGGATCACATTCTGAATTTGAAGGTTAGTTTAAATGGTCTGCTTCATAAGACTTGCATTGAAGTTAACAAGTTTATTTGGAAAATTAGCATAAATATATTTTAATAATCTTTTCCTAATGCTTATTTGAAAAATAAATTTATATTTTTAGAGATGATGCATTTTAATTTTTTTAATAAGCCTTCCCAGTTTTATTTTTAAGTTGTCTTTGTTGATTACTCCTTTGAAGCATCTTTTGAATTTGCCCCTTCTTTACATTGGTGCCATTATCGCCTCATTCATTTAGGTCTAATCATATTGGATTTGGTTTGATGAAGAAGGTTCCTACCTGGCTTACATGCCTCTATACTTTTTCCCATCTTGTAGTCCATGTAGCATGAACATCTTATAGTCCATGCAGCCCAACTCATTTTCTGAAAATACTTTTTTATTTTTCTAAGAAACTAACATAGTTTTTTCTTGCCTACCAAGTCAAGTCTAAACTGATCTGCCTTGCTTTTTAGGGCTTTCCTAATGCAGGTCCACCCCAACCATGTTCCTGCCTCATACCTGCTTCTTTTATCCTTTACTTCACTCAGGACCAGCTTGTAACTAACTGCTTATGCCATCAAGCTCTATCTTTGTGCTTTGACAGATGCTATCCTTCTACCCAGAAAGACCTGTATCTGTGTTTATCTCCTTACCTGCACTGGTGCATATTCAACACTCCTTTTCTCTGAATAGTTTCTGCCACAATATTTTATTGTTTCTCATCTTCCACTCATGCCTCTCCGTATAAATTGTTTTCTTCAATGCTGGAATTGCTTTTACTACTTTCATTAACAATCATGCACCCTACTACCACACTATCCCTACCTTGGCATTCTGTATAAAGCAGGGCATGTACCAGGTTCTCAGTAAATCTTCATTGATACGAATGAGAGGTTCTTTTATGCCGTATACCCAGAAACAACTCTTATTTGCAATCTTTCCGTATTTGTTGATTGCTTGGAATAAAAAATATTTCTGAAATTGAAATGAGAATGTATAATCATATAAAGTTTTACTCTAATTTGGCATACTTTTTAAATAGAAACTTAAGCCCATATTGATGTCATTGTTGGCTAACAGTGAAAAGATATCTGGCTTTTTGATTTGATTTTCTTCTGTGCCAAGGAATAAATCATCCCTCAGTGTGTTAGCCAAGCAAGACTGGGTGACGCCCTTTAGTTCTTTGTTGCCTCCAGTAAATTTTGATTTTTATCTCAGATGTTTTTCAGACTTGTCATGGTAATCGTAGCATCATTTGTACTTTGAAGGGGTCCGTGAGCGTCTGCTTGTCATAGAGTATGGGGAAAGAGCCCTTCCTGTGTGTTTTGTGGTCTGTGGATTTTAGTTCAACTTGCAGCACCATTATTTACCTATCTGTGAATCTGGCAAATATTGATTGATTGATTGATTGATTGATCAGGTTCAGTAATATCTTCTTTAAAGGATCAATATTACTGTGAGGTTTTCCAGAATAAGATATGCATACAATAGGGTTCATAGTAGTTCAGGGATGCTTCCTAGACATGTTAATAACACTGAATTTTGAAAGATAAGTAAGAGTTAATCAGGGAAATGGGTAAGGAGAAAGAATTACAGGCAGAGGAATATCATGAACACAGAAGCATGAGCTGTAAAACAGCTTGGTACTATTGTAGGGCATTTTCCTAAGGTGTTTGTTTATTATCTTGTTCAATGAGGGAATAACGTAGTTGATTTGCATGTAAAAAAGAAATCAACAAAGAAGTTAACTGAAATTTTTTTTCCTTTAAAAAAGTTTTGAGAGTCTGATCACATATTTTTCCAACTATTTATTATGAAAAACTTTATATATGTAAAAAAGCTGAAAAAAGTGTAGTGAACTTGCCACTGATGATAATGATGAAATAGGAGTATTTAATTATTCCTTCTTTGTCTCTTCTTTCATGCCCCTAAGAGTAACTATATCTCTAAGAGTCTCTCGTTGGTTCTCTTTTTCCATATTAATTTTCTTCCTTTTCCTTGGCAATTTCTTCCTTTGTGTAACTTTAGTTGTATAAACTGAATATGTATAACTCCCAAATTCAATCTTCTCAGTTGTGACTTTTCTGCAGAGTATTTATAACTTCTGTATAACTACATTTGGTGGTCCCATTGGCACCTAAGAATTTATTTAAAACTGAACATATTTGCTTCATTAAATCTTCTACTCATAGCTTTTCCTTTGCTTCTTACTTGCACTATCACCTTTCCAGGTACCTAGGTTGGAAACTTTGACTACTCTTTTTTCTTCAATCTACATATCCAATTATTTTGTCAGATTTATCCTTTGAATGTTTTAACAGTTCTGAGCTTTTCAGGGTCTCAATTTAGAAAGCCTTCCATAGTTCCTTTTTACTTATTGAATAAAGTTCAAACTCTTACAGTGGCATTCAGAATCTGTCTTGGTCTCATTTCAGCCCTTCCAGCCTGATCTCCTATTATGTCTAAGGGGGCATCGTTTTAGTTAAATTTGAACTGGATTATTTATATTCTCTGATTGTACTCATCCCTTTCTACCTCTCTGTCTACCTTAGAAGAACTTTACTTCTTGCAATTTTTTTCTCATTCTAATCTTTCTTCTTTTTCAAAATTTAGGTCAAATAGTGCCTCCTTTAATAAATGCCCCTTTCTTCCTACCAAGTAAGCTCTTTTGGAATCTGCACAATGCATTATTATAGTACCAACTGCATTTTGTCTTCTATTTTAGTTCTCTTAATGTTTCTTGATATCTTCCATTTGACTATTATCCTGTGGAGGTTTTAAGGATCATAAGTTACGTTACTTAGTTTGCATACCCATACCACAACACACTTAATAGTATGTACCGTAGTAGACACTCATTAAATATTTGAGTGAGCAAAAGGATAACTTTAAGTTGTATTTCCTTTCCCTTACTTTTGCCCCCTCTGGCTCAGCTTTGATAGTGGGATATCATAATCACTTACCCTAATTTGACATATACCCTATATAAAAGTAAATATCCACTTTAGGATTTTTGTCCTAAGTTTCTGCTGTTGCTCTTAGTAGCAGCTGTCAAAGTGTGCAATCTATCTAGGCTGGGAAGGAATGGAAGGTCTCCCTTGGTGTACTTTTGTTGTACATCTATGTCAACTTTGGAAATTCCCTTCTCTTCCCCCTACCTTTTTTAAACATAAAAGGTTTATTATAAAAGGAAAGTTAATGCTTTGTCTCTGTAATAAGCATTTCCAGCAGAGAGAATTTTAATCATTTGCATATACTCAATGTAAGACATTGGAGAAACATAGGTATTAATTTTGTATGGCCTATCTAAGGACAGTGGAAGATTTAAAATCATGTTGTGTTAAAAGAAAAAAAACCTGACCTCTAACTCTGTGGCTGTCCTTGATTACCTGAATAATGCTTAACTCAGTTTCACACTTAATTTGGCCTGTATCAGGCTCCTGCTTTCAATGGGGCTTTAGGTGAGAGTAATTAGACTTTTCTTATCCAACTTTGGGCCCTTAATCAGGTCACTGCTCTAGGATTTGGCTGCCTTATCTGAAAAATGAGGATAACAGTGCTTCTTCCTATTTAAAGAGAGGCCCAGCTCATCTATCAGATAATTATTTCTTGAGACATTGTAAGGTGGTCAGACAGATATGAGTTTAGATCTAAGTTCTACCAATTGTTAGCTGTGTGATCCCTAACAAGGTCTCAGAGCTCTGATTTTTCCCTTTGCAAAAAATGGAGATTAGATCTAATTAACAGGATGTTATGTTAAACATTAAGCACTTAACTCTGGTTGGCATCTACTAGGCATTTCATAAATGGGAACGTTTCCTTCCAGGTCTGTGATATGGTTTCTCAGAATAAATGTTGCCTTTTTAAATTGAGGTTTTTATTTCTTGATTTTTTTGCATCCTTAGAACTTTGAAACTTTATTCTTTGGAACTAACATCTGTTGTAAGAGAAAAGCAAGCTCTTCAGTTTTCAGAATGTCATTTTATAATTATAGAAGATCTCTCACTTTGGAAAATGATTGAACCTTGTTTAGTGTAGAGATAATACCTTTCACTCATATTTTCTTAGTTTCTAGCACTGCATCTTTTATGTAGCAGATGATCAATAATCATTTCTCTTTTTTCTTATTTATTTATACAGATAGTACACATCCTAAATATGACTTCTGCAAAGATAATTTCTTTTCTGTTACCACCTGATGAAAGTCTTCATTCACTGCAGTCTCGTATTGAGCATGAAACTGGAATAAACACTGGTTCTCAAGAGCTTCTTTCAGAGACGGGAATTTCTCTGGATCCTCGGAAACCAGCCTCTCAATGTGTTCTAGATGGAGTAGTAAGAGAATTCTAATATACCTAGAAGAATATAAGAAATTTGCATAGAGAGAGATTGCATGCTCTGCATTTTGAAATCCCTTGGCGGGTGGTGCACATCTTGTAATTCTTTTAGTTTAATTCTACTCTTTTATTGCTTTGCAAGATAAACAAGATAGAAGGGAAACATTCGTTGTTTTGAACTTTGTATGATTTTCTCTTTGGTGCTAGTTCTCTCCTCCCTCTTTTTTTCCCTTTTTGTCTTAAGGCCCAGAACCTTGAAATTAGACCAGCAGTCTCATAGGTCCTGTCAGGATAAATGGATGGTATAATGATTATGGTTATGACCCTTTTTTCATTTTATTTGACTTTATTGAGGCATATTTTATATATAATATAATTTACCCATTTCAAGTGTACAATTCAGGATATTTTTGTTTTTTGTTTTAGTAAATTTACCTGTGCAGCTATTACCATAGATCAGTTTTAAAACATTTGCATCTCAATAAGAGTCTTCATATCCATTAACTGTTAATCTCCATTCTGCCCACCCCATGCAATCACTAATTTCTATCTTTTTGGATTTACCTTTTCTGAACGTTTCATATAAATGGATCATGTAAATGAATCATATAACCTGTGTCAGACTTCTTGTACTTAGCATTATGTTTTTGAGGTTCATTTGTGTTATAGCAGGTATCTATTTTATTCCTTTTGATTACTGAATAGTATTTCCATTCTATGGATATATGTTATGAATTTTAGCTTTTGTCCTTTTGGGTTTGGTGATTTTTACTTTAGCCCATACTGAAGTTTTTAATTTATTTTTCCTAAACAAAAGTTTAGACCCTAAATCTGTATCTGCTAATGAACATTGACTTTGTTCATTTGCATTTCAGAGTAGGAAATCTGGTGCTTAAATACTTAGAGAACTTAAGGTGCTCAAAGATCTTTCTTTTTAATTGTTCGTTTCTTTTTTCAGAGAGGCTGTGATAGCTATATGGTTTATTTGTTTGATAAAAGTAAGACTGTATATGAAGGACCATTCGCTTCCAGAAGTTTATCTGACTGTGTAAATTATATTGGTAAGTCTAGTCCATTTATTGACTGAGCTTTAAACCTGAAATAATATAAGTTTGACTCAACATGATTACTGGAAATGGTCTTTGGTGTTTTTGTTCTGTATCTCATACTTTAGGTTTCTATTCGTGGTGAAAAATGAATTTCTATAGTTTGGAAGGTGAAAAGGTAGGTTTTAAATCACCACCACCAGTTCCCTCATTTGGGAGACTTACTTTCCTGAGGATAGGCCTCTCACAGATGGAAGCATGAATCTTTGTTATTAATTAAGCCTACTTCTTACTTGTTCCTTCATTATTTAAGCATGTTCAAAAATTTCATTTTATCCTACGAATATAGCTTAATGTTTAAACGTTTTCATTTATCCTGTGAGAATTATTTTTTTCTTTTGAAGAAGTGGTCAATTTCTGTCTACCCCAAACCAAAATCAAGCACAAAATTTTAAAATCAAGAACAAAATTGGGCATAAGGGCTAAAATTATGTAATCATTCCTTTTCGTTTTTATTAGTTTTTTTTTAGAACAGTTTTATATGTACAGAAAAAATGAGCAGATAGTACAGAATTCTCATAATATTCCCCTCCCTCACACATACAGTTTTCCCTGTTGTTAAGATCTTATATTAGTATGGTACATTTTGTTACAATTAATGAACCAATGTATCAGTATTAACTAAAGTCCATACTTTATTCAGATTTCCTTATCAGGTGTCCTTTTTTCTGTTCCAGGATCTTATCCAGGATACCACATTGCATTTAGTTGTCATGTCTCCTTAGGCTCCTCTTGGCTGTTTCTCAGACATTCCTTGTTTTTGATGACCTTGGCAGTTTTGAGGAATACTGGTCAAGTATTTTATAGGATGCCCCTTTGTTACAATTTGTCTGATTTTTTTCCCCTCATAATTAAACTGGGATTATGGGTTTTTGAGAGAAAGTAAAGTGGCTTTTATCACATTACTTAAAGGGTACATACTGTCAACATGATTTATGGCCCTTGGTGTTGACCTTGATCACTTGGCTGAAGTAGTGTTTGTCAGGTTTTTCCACTATAAAGTTTAGTCTTTTAATCCCCTTTCCATACTGTACTCTTTGGAAGGAAGTCATTATGCAGAACCCACACTTAAGGAATAGGGAGTTATGTTCCCCTCCCTTTAAGGTGGAGTACCTACATAATTTATTAGGAATTCTTCTGTATGCTAGATTTGTCTTTTCTTTCTCATTTATTAATTTACTCAATAATTTATTATATCAATATAGATTCATGGATATTAGACTTTGGATTATAATTCAATACTAATTTATTTTGTTGTTTAAATTGTTGCAACTTTGGCTATTAGGAGCTCTTTCAGTTGGCTTCCTATGCCCCTTTTACTTGTCTCATCAATGAGAGTTTTCTTCTTTTAGCATTTTCTTACTTCCTGGCACTACAGTGTGCCTCAGACCCATCTTGTGTATTTCCTGCCTCAGTCCTAGAAGTTGCCATTTTTCCAAAGAGCCCTAGTTCTTTTAGTTGGAGAACAATACTAGAAACCAAGATCTGGACACTATGTGTGTTTCTTACTACTGGAGTATCATTTCTTAGGCCCTTTCAGACTTTAATTTGTGTGTGTGTGTGTGTGTGTGCACGCGCGCGTGTGCGTGTATATGTTTGTGTATTTAGATCAGGCTTCCCTCCAAGACTTTTAAAAGGTTTTTCGTTTGTTTGTTTGTTTTCGTTTTTTGGTGTATTGTAGGAAGCCTCAGGAGTAAGTGTGGGTATATAAGTATATAAAAATAGAAGAAAGGTTAATGAGGCTGTTAATAATTATAGGGGAGGCAAAAATTTTTCCAGTTACATTATTTTTTTTGAAGTTTGCTTCAGATAATGTTTTCTCAATATGAACCCTAGTAGCAACCTCTCTTTGAAGGTTTTCATTAGAAAAGAATTTGGATGACTCTCACTCTTAGAGAATTTCATAATGTTAACATGGAATTTCATTGAACTTAATATACATACCTGCTGTTATTTTAGAAGCATTCCCTTTACCAAAAAAAGGGCAAGAGATAATCATAAGTAGATAATTTCATAAGTCTGGCATTGAAGAAAGTATATCTTATGAAACTGCAATTTCCCTGTATATGTTCCTAAAGCTGTGTTGGTAGTCCAGCAGATGCAATTTATCATTCAGAGGCAGGAAAGACTGTGGCAGATTGTGGAGGAGATGGCACCTGATTTAGAACTTTAAAAAAATTTGGAATTTATACTAGTGGAGAGGAAAAAGAGTATGCCAGGTTGGAGAAAAACAAGAAAAGAGAGAGACTGGGATAATTGCAAGCTTTGTGATTATGTAGTGATTATGTCTTATCATTTTTATTCTCCCCCTCTCTGGAAAAGGGCTCATGTACTGTAGGTGTTCAGTAAATGTATATGGAACTGAAGGAAATAATAACAAGTGTTTTTCTAGCATCTATGGGAATTATATTTGTATGGGCAGGAAATCACAAAGAATCTTTACAGTCTTAAAAAATAACTCATCTCCTTTTTCCTGTCTTCTTACATGTAGTACAGGATAGCAAAATACAGCTTCCAATTATACAGCTGCGTAAAGTATGGGCTGAAGCAGTGCACTATGTATCTGGGCTAAAAGAAGACTACAGCAGGCTCTTTCAGGGACAAAGAGCAGCAATGTAAGCAGATTCTGTTGTTTATAGGGGCAATGTCATGTGCTTTAATGCTTAATAATCAATCTTGCCAGTTATCAATCAGTGTTCATATAATACTAAAATATTGGGCCAATTTGGAATGTAATGTTTTGATCAGACTATTAGAATTCTTACTAATGGTCTGAAACCCTCTAATTTCAATAGCTTGAGAGTAGTTCTTGAGCAGAATGTCCTAATATAAAGAAGATTGTTTTATCATAGAATGTCATAGGCAGGAAGTCTTTAGAGACTAGATTCTAGAGATCAGCTATTTCTCATAGACTGATAATAGAAACTTCGCCTTTGAGCTTATAGCAATTTAAGTTTTTAAATTTTGTCTATTGTTTATGATTTTTTTTTTTCGATTATGGTTTAGGTTAAGTCTTCTTAGATATAATACTAACTTGACAAAAATGAAGAACACTCTGATCTCAGCATCTCAGCAACTGAAAGCTAAACTGGAGTTTTTTCACAAAAGCATTCAGCTTGACTTGGAAAGATACAGTGAGCAGATGACTTATGGGATATGTAAGTGTTTGGGTAATGTATTTGAAAGAAGTGTCTAGTGTCTTGAAGCCATATGCTATTTTGCCTTCTTGCTTCATAGCCAGTTGTTTCTCTTACATTTACATTAGAACAAGAAAAAAGGTACCTCAATCATTATAAGTCATGTTTTGAATGTTAGCTTGTTTTAAACTTTTAATTGAGTAGCTTTATGTTTGTTTGTTTAGCTCCAGAAAAATATAAAAGTAATTTTAAAACTTGTGTTTTTCAAACTTCATTTTTAAAATAGATACAAAATTATATTGGGTCTACGGCCATGCCACCCTGAACAAGCCCGATCCCGTCTGAAGCTAAGCAGGGTAGGGCCTGATTGGTACTTGGATGGGAGACCACCTAGGAAGACTAGGTACTGTAGGCATAAAAAAATAAAAAATAAGGGATTGTAAGCTGACAGGGTCCTTGCAATCTGTGAGGTCAATCAAGGGTTCCCTTGCCTTTAAAAAAAAATCAAATTGGGATGACTTCTTAGCCAGGGAACTCTTAAACTACTTATCTTTCTATAAATAATTCTAGGTTTTTTTCCAAACCACCTACTCAGTAGTTTCACTTTTTTATTGTACACAGCCTCCATATTTTCAGTATTTGACTTTAAGCTTATCTACCTTCAGATGTGCTAAGGAAATGTAAAAAGCAGAGTTAAAATCAAATAAACTGAAGAGGTCACCACTAGCATTTCTGGTTCTTTGTTTTCTTTTTCTTCATGAGACAAATTCTTTTTTGGGAAACAAATCCTGTTCGTATACTTGTCTTGAATAAAGTAGGTGTATCTCAATAAATAATCAACAGTGTCCAGTTGGGTAAGTTTACCCACTACAGCTGATTCTATGATTGATGTTTTATTTTTAGTTGTGTATTATGGGTATTCTGGTGCATGGCAGAACATTATAATTATTTTACCAAATTGTCTTTGACTTGTCAGTTGTATATCTTATATGACTATTAAAAAAGAATGAGGTAGACCTATGCATACTGATATTAAAAGATCACCTGGATCTTTAATGGCAGTGATTTTTTTTATTTTGTTTATAATTTTTATTTTTCAACTAGAGTTGACATTCATATTATTTTATATTAGTTTCAAGTGTACAGCATAGTGGTTAGACATTTATATAATTTACGAAGTGATCTCCCCAATTAGTTCTAGTAGGCAGTGATGTTTTTAAGTTAGGAAAAAAAGTGAAGAAAGAAAAGTATGTGTAGATGTTCTCATTTGTGAGGGAAAAAGGTATGTGTCTATATAATAAATGACTAAAAATAATATCTTTTAGGATGGAGGATAAAGGGGAGGAAGGAAAGAGTCTTTATATCCTTTTATAATGTTTGTTTTTTTAAAAATCATGTTCATGTATTATTTTTAAATTTATTTTTTTTTATCAAAGAGAAAATCATCTGTATTAGTGTTGTAGTAACAAATTACTATAAGCCAAATGACTTAAAGCAACAGAAATTTATCATCTTACAGGTACAGAGGTTAAAAGTCCAAAATCGAAGTGTTGGTTTGGCCCTGCTCCCTCTGAAACCTGTGGAGAATAATCCATTTTTGCTTTTTCCTGGCTTCTTGGTGGTTTACCCAGCAGTCCTTGGTACTCCTTGGCTTGCAGCATAGCTCTTTAGTCTCTGCCTCTGTGGTCAAATGGAGCTCTCCCTTCATAGGTGTCTCTCTCTTCTTTCAAGGACAATAGTCATACTGGATTAAAGATCCACCCTACTCCAGGATGATCTCATCTTAATTTAGCTAATTATATGTGCAGTGACCCCATTTCCAAATAAGGGCACATTCTAATGGGCTGAGTTAGGACTTCAACATACAATTGAGGGGACAACTCAAACTATAACATGGTTTTTGATGCTGATATGGGTAGGTTAGTAATTAAAGCTATGGTTATTTCTGAGATAACCAATTAAGACTTTTTTTTTTTTAGCCTCAGAAAAAATGTTAAAAGCATGGAAAGAAATGGAAGAAAAGGCTATCCATTATGCTGAGGTAAAATCACTGAGTTTATTTTGTCTGTTTATTAATTTTTGAAGTCTCCTTTAGAAACTTTAGTTTCGGTATATATTTTTCACATCATTCCTGAATATCAGATAAATATCTCGTAGATGTTTTGTGTACGTAGAGGGAAATACTACAGTGAATAAAAACAAGGGCTTTGGGCAAATGAAACTAAACTGAAGCCTCAATGAGCTTCAGTTTCCATATTGTATTAGTAGGGTTACACAGATTAAATGAGAATAAACAGTAAGTGGTAGTTTTCGTTGTTATTTTTGACTGGTTTGGAAAGGATGGCTGCAGATCCTGGTTTACCTGGGACAGTCCACTTATACCTGTCTTGCCATAATTATCAATAATACTCCCTTTTACTCTTAAAATTATACAGATTTGTACAATAAATTATATGGTCACTTGGTATAGATCATTCTCTACGTGGCATATTTCCTTCCTTGCCAACGGTGCATCTCTCCATGGTCCCACTAAATTGTTGCTCTCCTTGAGGCCAGTATCTACCCTGAAGACATGAGTAGGGCAGTTGGTATCCTAGGGTGGGAAATCCAGTGTCCTTATCTTTCTGTATCCTTATTCAAGGCAGTCAGGAACAAGAGGTAAATCATAGAACTGAGATGGAATGGTTTTGATGGCCGCTTTTTCTCTGTCTTATGAGTGACACTTCTATCCTTTTGCTTCTTAGGAGGAGAAACAACTGCTAGCAGTTTATTGTAGTCAGGAGAGAAAAGAGAAGCATAGGAATAAGTATGTTCTCGTGTAAAAGATTAAGTGTGAGAATCTGAGAGACAAAAAGGCTTGAACAAAATCAGTTTCATATTAACTTATTTAGTTCTCTTAGGGTAGCAACAAGTCATTCTTTGTCTGAGTTCTCTGTGTTGTGTGGTGGTGAGTCTGTCATTTCTTTTGTGTTTCATCATATTTTAGGTGGGTGTCATTGGATACCTGGAGGATCAGATCATGTCTCTGCACACTGAAATCATGGAGCTTCAGAAGAGCCCCTATGGAAGACGTCAGGGAGACTCGATGGAATCTCTGTAAGGATGTGTTCATGTCGTTGGTGTTGGTGTCTATATAATTTTTTTTGTAGCAGGTTGCTCTTTCTGTGTACATCTGGCAAATTAAGCCTATATGTGGTTATGTTCTATAGTTCTCCTTTCTGCAAATATATTGGCATTATATTTAAAAAGGAATTTTTTTCTTAGTCACCAGAAATTTTAGAAATAACTCTTTGGGTTGACCTTTGCTATATTAATCACAGCTTTTTTTCATGTAAGTGTTAAAAATTTTTTCGTAAGTATTCTAAGTTACAAACTATTTCCCTACTTACCATACTTCTGGTCCAAGGTATTGTCTATTAAATGCCCTAAACGAGATTAAGTTCCTAAATGTTTGGATTAAAAACTTCAGATTTTTTTCTCTAATAACAAGCCATAATTTTTGCCCATTTAAGTGTTTCTGGTGCAAGGATGTTGTATATGTGGTGGTAGACCACAGCAGATTAGAAGTATATTAAGTTTTGCGTTGTAAAATCTTGCTTATTACTCAGTGAAATTCTCTATAATATTCATTGGCAATATGCACTTGCTTTAAAATGGATCATTACTCTATTCAAATAATATCATTCCTTCCAATTGTGTATTATCATAGTCATTAAATGATCTTCACATACAGAAGCATGTTTTCTCTTTCATAGGGAACAACGTGCCATCAATCTATATAAGCAGTTAAAGCATAGACCTTCAGGTAAGACATTTTTATCACAGTACACAAAGGCATGTTTGGAAATGATCCCTAGCTTAACAAATCTAGGGGATTGGATTTTAAATAAGCTGCAGAATAGATTCCAGTTTTGGTATTTCCATTGAGATGTTTCTGGTACAATAGCTTTTAGTTTGTCAGAATTTAAGAGATTAGGAAGGCAAAGTAACAAGAAAATTGAGGTGGAAAATTTTTTAAAGTGAAAGGAAGGAATAAAAGAGAAAAAAGGAACTCAAAAGAGAGGGGAAGAGGAAGCAAGAAAATATGTGGGAAGATGGAAAAAATAAGTGCTGCTTAAGATTAGAGAGGTTGAGAAGAAGTTAATGCTGCAGGTTCAGGTGTGGAATGGTCAGAGGGAAGGCCCATGTGTGAGGCCAAAGCAGTTCACCTTGAAAATGCCTTCATCTGCACCTGGTCACTAAATGCTTATTTCACTGGCAAAACAATTCCTTTTGAACATCTGCTGAGTACAAAGTATGGTCTGCTGGAAAGAGCACTGGATTGGAAATTGGAAGCATTGAATTCTAGATTGGGCACTTTACTGACTAAGTGACTTCAGGCAGATTACTTAATCTCCATTTCCCTTCCCTCTTCTACAAAATGGGGTTGAAACCTTGCTTTCCTAACTCGATGAGTGTGGCAATGTATTTGAGAGGATGTTTGTGAAAATGCTTTGGAAACTACAAAGTATTATGTACCTGCAGGGTATTATTCTTCAGTTAAAAAACTGATTTGTTTTGAAGGGTTAGAGAAGAAATAAAAAGTGAAATCTGTGCCCTAATTTGCTATATACCTAAATTGTAAAACAAAACAAAACATGACTTTTTATACTTTAAAATTTACAAAAATATTCAAATGTACATGTGAAATTATATTTAACAAATAACATGATCTCCTCTACATAATTTTTATTATAGTGGAATTTGTTTAATTTCTACAGACATTTAGGAAGCACATATAAGACGGAGGGTGAGGGATAGTTACAGGAGGTGTCCTGTAGTAGATGACATCTGAGATGAGCCTTAAAGAGTAAGTAGCAATAGCTAGGTGAAAGGAGGTGAGCTCTTGTATATCCAAGTGTAACAGGTGAAGACATGCATGTGTAGCGCTTAGCATGTTTGAAGAAATGCAATGTAACTGGATTGTAGAGTTTTAAGAGGAGAGGGAGGTGTGGTTGGATCATAAAGAATCTGGTATATCATGGTAATGAGTTTGGATTTCATCCTGATGACGAAGAGAAACCCTAAAAAGTTTTAAGCAAGAGAATGGCTTGATCAGATTAGCATTTTAGAGATACCGCTCTGGTAGCATTGTGGACAGTGGATTAAACTGTGGCTAGGACAGAGACAGGGGCATTAATTATGAAGTTTTTGAAATAATCATAGCTCAGGGGCGGGGGAGGAGCATGAGCCAGAGCAGAGAGCCTGAACTGTGGCAGTGGGGTGAAGAGAATCATAAGGGCAAGAGAAATATTTAGGAGGTAGAACTGATAGTGTTGGGTGATGGATTGATTATGAGTGGTTGGAGCAGCTGGGTGCTGGCTAGGGCAGTTGGGTGCCTGGTAAGACCACTCACCATAATAGGAATTATAGGAAGGATGACAGACTTAATGGGAAAAGAAGATGAATTCATTTTTGTACATGTTCTTTTTTTTTTTTCATTTTTGTCCATGTTGATGTTAGGTGTCAGTGAAACATTGAAGTAGAAATATCTAATAAACAGTATTAGATATGTATATATGTACAGGAAGTTCTCAGTGTCATCGGTGGATTCTGCTACTTGAAGCGAAACAACGTATAACAAAACTAATTTTACCATAAACATTGATACAAACAGGAGTTAAGTTCCTATGGCATCTCATAAATGTTATAGTGAAATGACATTGAATGAAATGACATTATTAGAGTACTGCTGTATATATGTACATGTATATATAAACACACTACATATATACACATGTACATGCATATATATAAATATACATATATATGTATATGGATTTAATAGAGAAGTCTGGGCTAGATATTTAGCTATTTTGAGAGTAATTAGCCATAGGAATAAAGTGATCATCCTGAAAAAGTAGGTTGAGTAAGAAAGCCAAGAATGGAATCCTAAGGAATATCAACATTCGAGAAATGACCAGAAGCAGAAGAGCCTTCAAAGAAGATTGAGAAATGCCAGAATATGTAGAGGGAATGATATTATAGGAACAGAATAGAGAGAGTTTCAAGAAGAAAGTAATCAGTTGATTAAAATGCTACAGAGAGGTGTGGGTAATGAAAATGAAAATATTCAATGGACTAAGCAGTTTGGGCATCATTGGTGATCTTGACAAAATATAATGGACTTTTGAGAACAGAAACCAGATTGTAGTGGCTAAGGAGGCAGAGGAACAGAAGGAAATGGAGAAGTCAGTCTAGTCCAACAGTTCTCAAGGTGTGGCTCATGAACCCTTGAGTCATTGAGGTCAAAACTGTCTTCATAATACTAAGATATTATTTGCCTTTTTCAAAATGTTGACATTTTCACTGATGCTGCAAAAACATTGGTGGGTAAATAGCTTGCACCTTACTTAGCATGAATCAAGGCACTAGCACCAAACTATGCTAGAAATCATTACACTTTTCACCACCATGCAGTTAATAATTTTTAAAATATGCCAGTTTCATTTAAAAGTGTTTTTGATAAAGCAGTAAAAATTTTATTTAAATCTCAACCTTTGAGTACATGTCTTTTTAATAATGTGTGAGAAATGGGAAATACTCATCAAGTGCTCCTGCTACGTACTGAAGTATGATGAGTGTCTTAAGAAAAACCACTTCAGCCATTGTTTACATTGCTTTTTTGACTGGCTTCTTTAAGGAACACCATTTTTACTTGAAAAAATGACTGTCAGACAAACTATGGTTATTCAGATTTGGGTATGTGGCAGGTATTTCTCAAAAATCAATGAAGCATGCCTGTCACTTTAAGGGGGAAAAAAAACAGTATTAGTTGTCAATGATAGAATTGCATGTGTCAAGCAAAAAATTAGAGTTTAGGAAAATGTATCCATCAACTGAAATTCGTCAGCTTGTCAATACTCAAAGACTTCTGACGAGATTGGTGATGATATTAAAATGATTTGCAAAAATGTAAAAAATGCCAGTTTTATCATTAAATTTTTTTTTGTTTTGAGAAATAGTTATTTTTAATAAAAATGTTATTAGTTAATGAGTTTGTCCTTTTTTTTTTTAAGTGAATAAATGTTTTTAAATTTCTCAGTTTAATTCCTGAAAAACACTTCAGAGTTCTAAGAATTTTTGAGGATAAAGAGGTCCTGAGACCAAAAGTTTGAGAACTTCTTATCTAAGCTATTCTTTTCAGAAGTTTGGCTGTTAAGGAAAGAAGAGAGGTGAGCAGCTAAGAGGAGACATAGAATCAAGGGAGATCAGTTTTCAGAAGGAAGACTTGAGTGCATTTATGTGCTTGGGGCCAAAAACCTGTGAAGAGGGAGGTTCCTGAACACACTTGAGAGGCTGACTCCAGGGAACAGTGGGAGGGATTAGGCTTGCTGCCACTGATGTTAGAGTGAGGATGAGTCTGGATACAGACACTTTTGTGGGTGTAGGGGTTGGAAGGTGAGGGTCTTAATGCTTTATGGCCTCCTATCTTAAAGAAGTGGGGTTAACTGTTAACAGAAGAGGTCATGACCTCAAAGATTTTTGAAAAGCTGGTACGTGCAATGGAAGATGTTGCTGACCCAGAACATTTAACAATCCAGAGTAGAAGTGAAAACCTGTGAATTAGTTGACAATCGAGGGAATGTTAGTATAATTTTTTGTTGGTAGTAATTAGTAGCTTGGATACAGGAACTGATAAGAGCAGATGGTTAGACTGATCCAGGATTAGGATTTTACTGATAGTATGAGACGATAAAAAAGTTGAAGATACTGGCAAAAGTGGTAGAAGCAATAGAGTTGTGATTAGAGTAAAATATTAAAATTTAAGATTTCAAATAGAGAAGTTTAAATCTTTTTTTTTTCTTTTAATTGGTATTCATTACTCCCAGTCTTCTGGCCAATTAATTAGATATTGCAGATGAAGATATACAGAATTCCATCCATTGACTCAGTGAACTTAACTTTCCACAGTCAATGATAGCATTTGTTTGGATTATTTTTTATAAAATCTTCAGTAACCACGTGAGCATATCAGCATACATAGGGCCCAGAAATAAAAGTGCTATCCAGATAGTTTCTTCGAGTGACAAAACTATTTAGTTGTAACAAGTTTTGTCTATTGTTGGGCTTTTATAATCACACTTGATATATGGTCTCTGGTGTTTTTCCTAGCTTAGAGTTGACTTGAGACTCATGTTCAGCTGAAAATGGTAAAAACCACCTTTCTTCATTCTCTGTGTTGGAGAAGGTTAACGTTCTGAGGTCTTTGACCATCTGAAAGAGCTTGTTATATGGGAAAGTTGTTGAGCCTGGTCTGTGGGATTAAGGAGGGAGTGCTCTTTAGAGAGGAACCTTTTTGGAGCCTCCATATCTAGCTGTTGGTGAAGGAGACACAGAGAGATGTGTGGGGAATAAAGATGAACTATGGGGAGGTCTTTGCAGTGATAACAAAAGGACACTGAACTTCTTTAAAACCTCTTTTGGTACTCTTTTCATAGTAAAATGTGGATAACAACAGTAGCCATCTCAAAGGACTCCTGTGAGGGTTAAATGACAAAATTATAAGTTGGTAATAGTAAATAATAATATTTTTGTATTTGAGATTATTGTCTAAGGATATACCATCATGATCCACGAGCAGCCTTCCAATTCTTAAGAACTTAGCCATTTTCTGAAATATAACAATACTAGTTTTTTGTTTGTTCGTTTGTTTTTGAGGTAACATCTCATAAAAACTGTAGAACTCACTGTGGCCACACAACCATCCCATTTGAGGACATTTGTCATCTGCCAGTTTGCTTTAAGATGTCATACTACCCTCAAACTGAACTTTCAGAATGTATAGGTCCTTTTACTAGTGTATCACATTCGGCCTAAGTTGGTCATATATACAGATATATATATATGTGTGTGTATATATATATGTATATACAATACAGATACATATATATATACATATATCTGTATTGTATATACATATATATACATATATCTGTATATATATATACATATGTCTGTATATATATATATACATATATATACACACATATACACATACAAACATCTTTTGCTTTTAGATATGTATTTATAGATAATCTTAAAATCTTTCGGCTTAATCCAGTTTTGAATTTAAATGGAGATGTTATTAATTAAAAGTAGTTTAAGATTTTTAGAAATTTGTTGTTTAGAGGCTGATATGTCCATGCATAAGAGAGGTTATGCCCACTGATTGAGATCTTTTCTAGATCACTCCTACAGCGATAGCACAGAGATGGTGAAGATCATTGTGCATACTGTGCAGAGTCAGGACCGAGTTCTCAAGGAGCTGTTTGGTCATCTGAGGTAGAAAAATATTGTTTTATTTCCTACTGAAAAGCCAGGGCACTTTTATCATCTTCCTTTTCAAAGTGTAATACCCCTTTTTGATAAATATACTAGATTCAGGAAGAGTTCTGGGTCTGGTACCTTGGGTGGCTTTACCATAGCTGTGTGCATTTAGGTGTCCTGTTTGTGTGCTTGGCTTTGGAGATCAGTCATTAAATCTGATGTGATTGTGGTTCATTTCCCCAGCTGGGTTTGGGGTATGGTGCAGAGTCTTGGGGGATGTGTAAGTGTCTGACACTGATTTCCTCTCTCTAGCAAGTTGTTGGGCTGTAAGCAGAAGATTATCGATCTACTGCCCATGGTGGAAATGGCCCTCAGTAACATCAAGGAAGCTGA